TGTAATGGGGCGTGTTCGTAACCCCAGTTTTCAGCTTTGAATGAAGTCGAGTAATCGGGAAAGTGGATGTGTTGCCATCTTCTCTGATGACACCTCACCTGCCCCCGAGCCGCTTTCATTTGGCTGTCAGGGCTTCCCGTTGGAATTACACAGAGGTGTTCCAGGGATAAGGAAGCTATTTTGTCTGGAAGAGACATTCCTTAATGACATTGATCTTCTATAACATTCCCAGAATTGAGTGTTGTAGAAATGGTTCCCCTTAGTAGTCTGGATGTGCCTACTCATATCCAGTGCATGCTAAATCCTTTAAGTGGCAGGGGGGGGGGGGGGGGGGGGGAAAAAATCCCTTCCAATCCCCGACATTCTGTGATTCTGTGAAAGGAGCGAGTCAGTATGAACAGCTACATGATTTTCTTGTGAAAACACAGCATGAGGCAGGGAGGACACACAACCAGAAGGATTTACCCTCGTTCACTGGTGAAACTCCCTGTTTTTTTTGTAGGCTTGTCCAGGAGGGTGACATCCTGTGTGTTCCAACATTTGGATGTGCTGAATTTTTAGAAGTAAATGCAGACAAGTTCCTAAGGTAGGTGGCAACAAACTGTGGCTCTGTTACATGGGTACTGCCAAAGAAAAGATAGTTTTCCGCTATTTACTCTTGAAACAAGACAGTTTATTCCGTTCTTATCTGTCCCTGGAGTTTAGAGTTTATCTGCTTCTCATTTTAGGGGGCAGAGGGAAATGTTTTTGCTGGATTATGGAGGGCTGCAGCTAAGAGGGAGACTTCCCTTAGCTCACTCAACTAGTCATGGAGGGAAGAAAGGAAAGAGAGAGAGAGAGGAACTGGTGGGGTCAAAGACTGCAGAGGAGGAAGGGGTGGCCTGAGGACAGCCAGTGCCACATAAAGAGAGCAAAGTGGAAGTTGGACTTGTCGATGTGTGACAAACAACAAAGTAAATGTCAACCCTTATAGTTAGTGTGAGAATAACTTTGTTTGGTCACCAATCCTGCCTGCCTTGGTTCTGCTCACGTGGCTTTGAAACAGGTCTGTGCTCAGTGAGAGAAAGGCACCTTTGTGCCAGAGGAGGGGTGTGTGCAGCGGGATTTGGCTGGGTTAATTGAAATGCTTCGGCTGTGTCCCTGAGGGACCTGCTGCAGGTAACTGAGGTGTGTGGTGTGAAGAGTAGCCTTGAATTGTTCATGCAGGAGGTGCCAGCAACATGCAGGAACGCTGCTCAGCGCTGCTATGTATTTTAAAATTGAATAGTTTTATAGCACTGTACAGTGAATATTTTCCAGGCTGTTTCTCAGAGGGAGGCAGGACCATAGAAAGCACAAATCTTCTGTTTGTGGACTTACATATATTAGCCCTGTGGCAAGCCAGAGAAGGCAGCAGAGTCCATGGCACCTCAAGAGCTTGGCACTGGGTTGTTGTGCAAGTGGTCTGATTATTCAGAGGGTGGAGAAAACCCTGGAAGAAAACTCTGCAGATTCCTTAATCTGTCCAGTGGGATATCAGTGTAGGAAGAAGTGTTTTCCTGCGAGGTGTGCAGGGCTGGATGCTGGCAAGATTCTCATGGTATTTGGGTAAGTCCGAGCCTGCAGCCTAGAGGACTCTGCACTGTAAGGTCTTATACACTGCAGGGGAATCTCTGTGGAGCTGTAGTGAAGGCAGCGATGGCAGGAGGGAGAATGTCTTGAGCTCTTAGATAGAGGCAGTAAGGGTAGTACAGCCATACTTGTGGGCTGAGGCCACCAGCAGAAGCTGTAACTGTTGACAGACCTGTACAGTGGGGTCTGTAAGGGATCCACGGGGGTCCTGGGAGTTGGCAAGAACATCTCTGCTTACCTGTGCCTTTCAGCTCTCTTCTTGTTGACAACTGTGTTGTTCCTACCTTCAAGATCTTGACTCAACAATTCAAACTGGTTGGTTTTTCCCTTAGGTGGCCAGAGCTTTACTTCAAAGTGAGGAAGACTTTAGGCGTGGTGGAAGGCGAGCAGTCTGAGGGTTACCTGGTGGACACCCAGAACACCTCTCTCTACCTGGTAAGGTGTCAGTGGAGAGCAGGGAGGGTGTACAGGAGATCTGAGGTTGCACTATGGATGACAAAGGTGCCTCTGGAGGCTTGTGTCTCCTGCCATTGAAAAACAGCATTTCATGACAGACTTTGTCACCTGGTGCCTGTCTTTTCTCAGGCAGTGTTCCACAGAGTGCTGTTTTCCCTTCCTCACAGGTGGGTTCAACAAACAGCGCTGTCCCCTCTGCCCCAGCCTATAACAGCCATGAGTTCTGGAGCAGTTTGTCTCCTGCTGGACTTTCTGATGTCGTGAAGCAGCTCTGTGATGCTCTTGGGCCTCACCTGACCAGTCGGTGAGTTAGAATTCCTGCTCGCAAGCCCCAGGAGAGCTGGAACCCTCCTGGTCACCAGGAGAACCGCCTCTGTGTTACAGGGCAAGTACACTGAGCGGGGCCGGCAGCGTTCTCCTCTCAGGACCAAGTGGCAGTGGGAAACTGGTGGCTGTCAAAGCTGTGTGTAGCTGCCTCAACCTTCACCTCTTCAAGGTAATTCCTCCTGTGGTCAGTTGATGGGTGGATTTACAACATACAAAGGATGATGTAAATGTTCTTTAAGTTAGCCATGCTAACAACCCTCCTGCAACCGTGACACGAGCCTACCCAGAGGCTGTTCCTGTGCGTGCCTGCAGACAAAAGGAGTCCAAGTGTGCTGAGCTTAGCAGCTCCCTCTGGCATGGATTATGACTGCTGGTGGGCAGAACCTCAGGGCAACCATTTGGATCAGCCTAAAGGTGTGCCTAGCCCCCTGGCTCGTGTCTGAGACTGCCCAGTAACAGATGCTCAGCATAAGCATGAAGAGATCTTTCCTCTGGCCTGTACCCTCCAGTGCTCCGGGATTAGGAATTTAGAGATCTCTTGGCCCAGGGGGTGTGTTTGTACCTTTCTTTACTGACTCTTGCTATTATTGCTGTCAGGCTGATGTACTTTACAGATGCTGCAATACACAGTTGTATTTCATCAGACTGCCTTCCTGTCATTTGATAGGGCATTGAATTGATACTGTACCCCAGAGGCTGGCAGTAACTAAAATAGACTGAGAGAAACTGGAGAGGTGATGAGGGCAGGAATTGCAGTGGCACTGGGTGTTTTAAATTGTCCCCACATAGGCTGGGTTAAAGGCATGTTGGTAAGTGAGGCAGAGGTGATGCTGAGATCTTCTGTGGCTGGGTGGGAAGCCTAGAAAAGAAATGCAGCCCTTGGTTTGATAACAGCATGTGAGCCAGATCTGGTTAAAAATCTCACAGCCTGTAGAAGAGCTGCCCTGTAACTGTGTTCACCTTCACTATCCCCCTCCACCCCCTCAAGAACAAAAAAGCCCCCAGATCTTCCATAGCAGTGCTTGGCTTCTGCAAGGGGAACAACATCAAAATTAGGTTTCTTTCGAAAGAAAGAATCAACCAAGAGAAGGAATTGTTACATCTGCTGCGGAGGTGAATGAAGGATGCCGCTCCACAACACGAGGCCACTGCATAGATCATGTTGGCATGGGCTTGAGAAAATTAAATGGAAGATAAAAGAGATGAACAGCAGGGAAAGGGCAGTTGCAGGAAACAAGAGGTCTCCTTCAAAGGGCACAAACCTGTAGCAGGTTAGAGTGAAGGACAGAGTTAGCACAGTCTGGGATGACTTCACTGCTCATGAAGAATCCATGTAGTTTTTGCCACAGGAAGTCCTGTCCTGTAAACCTTCAGAAAATTACTTGAAGATGTTGCCAAGTTACCTGTGGGGCAGGTAACTTGACCAACACAGTCTGCTTGGGTTTTGAAAAGGCTCTTCGGGAAACTGAGTGGTGGTGGGATGTGAGTGAAGGTCCTGGCATGGATAAAGTGCTAGTTAAATGTGGGATGGGAATGGGGTGGGAATGGGATGGGATGGGAATGGTTGGTGAGTCTTCACAATGAGCAGCGGAGCTCTGCAGGCATCTGTGCTGGGAGCTCAGAAATGACCTGGGAAAGGGAGTGAACTGTGACATGATGGTTTCTTGGTGAGTTATTAAAGGTAAGAGACAAGGGAGACAGACTGTCCTTGGACTAGAGGAGAGCTTTAATGAGACCAAGTGACTGAGCAGTAGAATGGTGGGTAAAATTCCCTGTGGTTAGTTGTACATGGCAAATGATAGATTTCAAGCTGACTGTCACCAGTCAGTATCAAGAATTTGGTTTTATGTCAATGACTCCATGAAAACTTGGGCTCTGTTCTCCATAAATGTCAAAAATCAGATCATATTTTAGGAAACACGCTTGAGAGTCGGTGCTGCTGCTGGGCAGATCTGTGTCTTGCCACAGCTTGAATGGTTCTGGTCTCCCCATCGCAAAAGCCTAAAGCTGAACTGGAAGAATTCAGAGAATGCTGTGGAAGATCAGGGGTCTAGACCAGTGTCTGTGTGGTGAACAGCTGGATAGGCTCTTCAGCTTGAAAAACAGAGAACTTGGGAGAGAGCTTGATAGAGGTTTACAAGATCCTGAGTGGTCAGCAGAGAGTGGAAAGTGTTTCCTTTTCTCTGTGCCAGAACGCCTGGGGTTGACAGGTGAAGTGGGTGGGAAAAGGTGGGCTGAAGGAGATGGGTCTTTGGGCAGGTAAGAGTATTTGGGGTGGAAATCTACTGTTATGAAACCACACCTGACTGGGAAAATCCCTTTTGGTGGGAATGGCAGGTGCCTGGAAGAGTACTGAGGGGAGAGGGTTGTATATGCTCACCTTGATCTTACTCTTTCTTAAGCAGCCACTTGTGTTCATGCTTGGGGACAAAATAAATGGACTAAATGGACTCAGTCTAAACCAGTACAGCCATTCCTAAGTTCTTATAGCTGTGGCTGTACTGGGTAAGCTTCTTGGCCAGAATGAGGTCTAGCCCCTGTCTCTGTCCAGCATTGGAGGTTCTGGGCACCGAGGCAGGTTTCACTGACTTGTTCAAAGTACTGTTTTCCTTCTAGATGCTCCTTTTGTTCATTCTGACAGTCTGGGTATATCCTACAAATTCTTTAATCTCCTTGAATCTGTAGAGTTATGTTTGCAAAAGTGAGAGGACTGGAAGTCAGATGGTGACTTTTCTAGGACAGTTTCTAAAACCCTGAAAGGACTTGGAAGAAGAAGAGAGATGGAAAGATGAGAGCTGGAAGGTTCCTTTTTGAGGAAGGAAAACATAAGCTTGCTCCTTTTTTTTGTGGGTATTTTTAGAATAAACTCACAGAAAACAAGCTGAGTGTTTTGGATATTTGGGTTTTCTTCTTCCATTTGGAGGTTGGGTCAGATGACATGACTTTATTTAACTCTTCTTTTCTCTCCAAGTAAAGCCCTAACAGCGGGTCAGTGGGGATGGTAGATACAGCCTTGGCCAGCTGTTGTGCAGCTCATCTTCTGGACATGATCCTTACTGGTGCTGAGCTCTTACTCTTCTGCAGATGCACCATAGCTCTTGGGATCCAGTGCAGGATTGCAGAGACTTCACAGTGCTTTCAGGCTCATGTATAGGATGTGTTTGGGAGCATTGTCATGTCCTGGCAGGTGGCCTCAGGTTCTAGTGTGATGTGCAAGGCTACAGCTCCGGTTTTGGCCTTGTGTGCTACTTTCAAAGACTAGCTCTCTTACTGTTGAAGCCAGAGGTACTTGCTGTCCATCTTATTCTCCTAGCCCAGATTTTACATTCTCCCCTCCTGTTCTCACTTACTGCAGTGCTTAAATTACCATTCCACCTTCTCTTCCCTTCCTCTGACTGTTCTGCCTGCTGTCCTACCAGGACACAGTAATTCTTCCACACTGTAATCTCCACTACTTGACAATCAGCAGGTTTCTGTCCTTTCTCTCTGCCCCTCCGTCCTTGCGTACAGACACTGCTGCCATTTGGCTGTGCTGCCACAACCTGAACTCCTGGGGTTTTTGGGTTTTTTTTTCCTATAGGACATGGAGCACCAGAGTTCCTCTGCTCTCTGTCCCCATCCTTACCCTTTATATCAGCTCTTGAGGCTGTGGCATTCTCCTTGCTCCAAGCTACCCTCTCCAAGGGTGAGGCTGAGGGAATCCCAGAGACGGTTTGGCTCTCCCTGTGTGACCTTGCAGCACCAGGAGGCAGCACTCTCTGTTTTCGTTCAAGCTGCTGTTCAAGGCTCACCAGTCAGCCCTCCCTTTTGGATGACTTCATCAAGTGTTTGCTTTCTAAACAGCGTCTGGGCCTCTAGCCACCTCTAACTTTTTTTTTTCCCCTTCCTTACCTTCTCCTCTTGCACTTTGAGCCTGTGCAGCATTGGGTTGAACAGTTTCCTGAGCCTCCCTCTCCACTCTTTGCACTGTTTCTTCGAGACACCTTGTTCTCCCTGTCTTGGCCTCTTTCACAGCTCTCCCATCCCTTCCAGCTTGGGTTGCTGAGCCGTGACATCCATTGTATCAAATTCTCTCATTCCTTGGCCTCACCTCTTTCAGACAAGACCTTTCTGCCCCCCTCACTTCCTGCAGAAAAGCAACAAGCAGACATTTTTCCATGCCAGAGAGCCCTGAATGTGTCTATTTTGAATATGTCCTGAATGTGTCTATTTTATATCCCTGGGAAACATCCACATAGATCTCCTTTCACAGAATCACAGAATGTTAGGGATTGGAAGGGACCTCAAAAGATCATCTGGTCCAATCATAGAATCATAGAATCACAGAATCACAGAATGGTTAGGATTGGAAGCGACCTTAAAGATCACCTAGTTCCAAACCCCCCGCCATCAGCAGGGACACCTTCCACTAGACCAGGTTGCTCAAAACCTCATCCAACCTGGCCTTGAACACTTCCAGGGAGGGGGCATCTACAGCTTCTCTGGGCAACCTGGGCCAGTGTCTCACCACCCTCACAGTGAAGAATTTCTTCCTAATATCTAATCTAAACCTGCCCTCTTCCAGCTTAAACCCATTTCCCCTTGTTCTGTCACTACCTGCCCTTATGAAAAGTCCTTCCCCAGCTTTCTTGTAGCCCCTTCAGGTACTGGAAGCTGCTATAGGATTGCCCTGGAGCCTTCTCTTTTCCAGGCTGAACAGCCCCAACTCTCTCATAGGAGAGGTGCTCCAGCCCTCGGATCATCCTGGTGGCCCTTCTCTGGACTTGTTCTAGCAATTCCCCAGTTCAGCTGTGAATTGCTCATGAAAAGCTTTGTGGAAGTGAACATTGTCCTGGATCCCCTTGCTGTCTGTGTTGCAACCTCTACAGACTGTGTGTGTTGTGTGGTCTGTCTCGCAGGTCGATTGTGTTAGTTTGTGCAGTGACACCAGTGGAGCCACAGAGGAGAAGGTACAGGTGGCCTTTGCCCAGGCCCAGCAGTATCATCCGTGTGTGCTTCTGCTGAAAGATATCGAGGTGCTTGGCAGAGACCGCGACAGGCTAGGAGAGGACCCCAGGGTCATCGCTACTCTGAGACAGCTGCTGCTGGATAGAGACCCAGCGCTGAGGTAAGGTCCCTGCACGTTTGCTGTGGGCATCTGAGGTGATTGTTTGCTTCTGCCGTTCCTAGGGCAGTGGTCACCATTGCATCGAGGTGACTGATTGCTAACGTGCCCTGTTTTATTTTTAACCTGGTGGACTTTCTCCCAGACTTGCTTTGTTTATTTCAAAGGGCACTGGTTCTTCCAGCTTAGAGGCAGAAGGAATCAGGAAGCTTTGCTGTCTGAAGCTGGTTTCTGAGTTCAGATGAGCAAAAGTGGCGTGTCACAGCCATGCCAAGGGTCTTGGGAACCCTGGAAGGGAGTAGGACCCCAGGAGAATCTTGAGGCTGATGACAAGTACCAGGGTGCAGGGAGGGAGACATCAAGTGAAGAAATAAGATGTAACTTGAAGGGCCTTGACTTGGAGACAGAGCTCACAAAGGAGTTCAAGGGCAAGCTGGAGGAGAGTGGCTGCAAGACACCTTGGCCAGGATCTGCACATTTCTCAGAGGAAAGGCTCGCCATTAGAGAGTGACTTGGCATGGGTGATGGCAGTGTAAGAGGGAAGAGTCCAACATTCAGGGTCAGGTTGGGTGGGGCTCTGAGCAACCTGATCTAATTGAAGATGTCCCTGCTCATTGCAGGGGGGTTGGACTAGATGAGCTTTAAAGGTCCCTTCCAACCCAAACCATTCTGTGACTCTATGGTAGAGCTAAGACCATGCACTGTCCCCCTTTTCTCAACAGCCACCCTGTCCTGGTGATCGGCACAACCTGCAGGCCCCAGGATGTTCCTACAGACGTGCAGACTGCTTTCCTTCATGAGGTGAAAATCGAAGCCCCTTCAGAAGAGCAGAGGAGGTTGATGCTGAGTGTGCTGACTGCCAGTCTGCCTCTGGGCAGAGAAGTGAGCCTGTCCAAGCTGGCCCGCAGGACTGCAGTGAGTGAAACCACAGCAGCACGTGGGGATGGGCAGGCTGGGAGTGCTGGGCCAACCTCTGCTACCTGGCCGTGGAGCAAGGTGGCGATTCCCAGAGCCCAGTCAACTTCAGTGGTTAACCCTGGTCCTCAGACATCACCTTTAACTGCAGATTTCTAGTGCCTAAGGACTGCACACCTTTGCAGAGGTGTCGGCTGATGCTCAGCTCTGATAGAACACAGAGCAATAGGAAAAAAAAAGGGAAGGAAAAAAAAAAGGGAAAAGACAGAGAAGCTAGAAACTTAAACCAGGGCACAGAAGCTCAAAGAACAGCTCTGCGAGGGTTTTCTTCCCCGTACACCTTTCATGGCCTAGCTGGAGCTGTGGCCAAGGACTGAACTGATGCTGTTTGTTTCCACATTCACAGGGTTTTGTGCTGGGAGATTTCTGTGCCTTGTTGTCCCACAGCAGCCGGGCTGCTTGTACCCGCATCCAGGCCTTGAGGTAGCACAGGAGGCAGGAGGTGGGGGAGGGCAGAGGCTGCAGCCAGCAGAGCTCAAGTCCTTCCCTTCTCTTTCCTCACCAGTTTTCCAGGCGGACTGAGTGAGGAAGTGGAGAGGGATTTTTGCACCGCTGGGTTCCCAGTGCTTGAGGAGGATTTTAATGCTGCACTGGACCAGCTGCACGAGGCCCATTCGCAGGCAGTGGGGGCCCCGAAGGTAGGATGCTGGGGCAGGGGAGGGGGGTTGGCTCTCTAGAGCTGTATGGCTCGAGGTACCTCTCACAAACCTTCACCAAATGCACGTGACTTCTGCTGTGTCCTTCCACAGATTCCCGCAGCCTTGGGTGGGAAACAGTCTCACTGTGGGCTTTCCTCCACTAGTGCTTTTCACCCTCTTGGCTTTGAACTTGGTCAGGGAAGGCTGAGAGGCTTTCAAGAGGCTGGGGCATAAGCTGGTGAGGGTGTTTCCCCATGTGTGTGAGAAGCCTTATACTTGATCCCTGGTCTCAGATGCTGCTTGAGCTTTTCTAACAGCTGAACAGTTTGAAGAGCTGCGGGTTTTTCAGGGAAAGGAACATGGTGTGTCAGAGAAAATCAGCAGAGTCGGCTTCTCGGGAGGAGTGTGATCTGCCCCTGGCAGCTCGGCACCCAAGGAAACAGCACCTGGAGTGATGGGTTTTGCTGTGTAACGTGGTGTTAGGACCGAGTGAAGTGACTGGAGCCTCTTCTGCACACCCTTGAGTGCGAATGGCTGAGCTCGGCGCAGGACAGGAAACACTGGCCTCGGAGCAGTTATTCTGGCCCCTTCCCCAGCCACCCACGTGCTGTCCTGCCCTAGCAGGGTGACACCTTGCTGGTGTCATCACCCAGGAGCTGCGCTGAGACTTCATTCATTCATAAATTCACTAGAGATGAAAATGAGCTCTGCTTTGAGGCGTGTTTGCCAAGTTCACTACAAGACGAATGATAATCACAGAGCGTGCTCAGCAGCGAGATGTGTGAATGGGAGCTAATTTTTTTTTGTATTTTACAATCCTTTATCAACTTGTTAGCAATTGGCTGCAGTTCAGAAAGCCCATTAGCAGACCTGGATACTCTCAATGTACTTAACTTTCAATTCCCTGCTTGCATTTTCCGGGTAGTCACACATTTGTTTGTAGTTAAAACTCAAGCCTCCTAGGGAGAACTAATTCCAAACCTCCAGTTGGTAGCAGTCTCTGCAACATGTTCTCAACTTAGGATGTTCTCCCCTGAAAACAGCTTTGCTGCAGTTCTCCAGCTCCCGTGCTCATGTCTGTAGAGCTTTTTCAAGTGAGGCAGGATAAGCGAGAGTGCAGGGGAGAGGGCAACTCTTCCACTCATCAGCACTGGAGAAGGAGGCCTGTGATGCCTGTGACCTTTTGCTTTAAAAGATTGTTTGTTTTTTTTTTCCTGGAAATCCTTATCTTGTCTGACCTGATTTTCCTGGTGGACTCACTGGACAGCTGGAGAAAGAACATGAGATAACATCATCTCAAGTAGTGAAGAAAGGAGAGCCATATTAGCTGAGGGGGAAAGAATTTTGCTCTGGCCTATTTTTAAACTCCCCGTTTGTGCTGGCACCTGTTCCCCACCCAGCCAGCAGCTGGGGGAAGTGTTCTGGGGCTTTGCTTTCTCTGTGCATTCCCAGGAGAGCTGCTCTGACTCTCAGAAGGATCTGTCATGCAGACTCTGGCATTACTGCTGTTTCTAAAGCTGTCAGCAGAGCAGCAGCATCCTCTGAGATGGTTTTGCTCAGCGTAAAATAATGCAAGCAGCGTGGCTCACCCCTCTCAAGTTTGCTCTTTCCTCTCTTTGTAATGATCCCTTGCATATTTGCAGTTGACTCCATCCCTATCTGCTTCTTGTAAGCATCCATGGACTTTGTTCTGGCATCCCCCCTTCCAAAAGCAGCTCGTTTTCTGTACAGTGTCCTCCAGGATGTCTGTCTCCCACATCCTCCTTCACATGGCAGAGGTTCCTAGTAGCCCAGGCCTGCTCAGGGCTTGGGAAGAAGTGCTGACAGGGACTCTTCTTCTCTTGGCAGATCCCCTCTGTGTCCTGGCAGGATGTTGGTGGGCTCCAGGAGGTGAAGAAGGAGATCCTGGACACTATCCAGTTGCCCCTGGAGCACCCGGAGCTACTGTCACTGGGTCTGTGCCGCTCTGGTCTGCTGCTGTACGGGCCTCCAGGGACAGGGAAGACCTTGCTGGCAAAAGCTGTGGCAACCACGTGTGCCATGACATTCCTTAGGTGAGGAGTGGGGGGTCATGCTGCAGGGCTGGCTTTCTCCTGGCAGTGGATGGACATGCTCTAACTGCCTCCCTCTTCTCCCTGCCCCACAGCGTGAAAGGGCCAGAGCTCATCAACATGTACGTTGGGCAAAGCGAGGAGAACGTGCGTAACGGTGAGCAGATGCCTCCTGCTCCTGCATGTGGGAAGAGATGAGGCTCTTGTGTGGTGCTGGGGAGGAAGGAGGTGGTGCTTAAGCCCCTCTTCCCAGCTCCCACCCACAGCTGCCAGCAAGGACATGAACCCGACTGTCTCCTACACCCAGTCTGTTCTCTGCCTCACTGCAGCTTCCCCTTCTCCTCTCTCTGTTCCTGTCACTCTTGTTTCTGGTGGGACAGCAGCCCCTCAGAGGCACAGCTGAGCCTCACAGCTCATCGTGCTGGGTGCTGCCTGTCCCTGCCTGTCCTTGCCTGTCCCTGCTCCCACTGAGCCCCTCAGGCAGGAGCAGTTGTTGGTGTTGAGGCAGTGGGCAGCTGGTTTCCATCCACAGCTTTTCCCTGCTGATGATGTAGCGGGTCCTGCTGCTGTTGACTGCTCCTCCAGGTCTTTCTCACCTTTTGTGCTGTCTCCTCCCAGTGTTTGCCAGAGCCAGGGCAGCTGCTCCCTGCATTATTTTCTTCGATGAACTGGATTCCCTGGCCCCCAGTCGTGGGCGGAGTGGAGATTCAGGGGGTGTCATGGACAGGTGAGTGAGTATCCTGCATCCTTGGGAGAGCAGCAGACCTGCCTCAGCCGGGGGAGATGCACAGGATTGCCCTGTGAGGCAGAGCCCATCCCAGCTCTTTCTCTCTACTTTTTCCCTCCCTGCTCCCTTCAGCTCTTCTGCATGTCCCGTCTCCTCTCTCTGGACATTGGTGTTGCTGTTTGCATTGCTGCAGATTCCCGATTGCCCAAGCTTGTTGTGCAAACATTTGGTTAACACAGAGTCTCCTCCAGCTGCTTCTGTGGCTGCCAACTGCTCCCTTTGGCCTCTCCAAGGTCATCCTTTGCACCTCTGCCGTGCTCTCCTCCTGTTAGCTGCTGTTTCCCTGTGGTGGGAAAACTTACAGCTGCCTCTGGTAGAAGCAAATTGTGTACAGTTTGGAGATAACCAGAGACAGGATTATTTCCTTCAGAGCTGATAGTCCCCGTGCAATCTTTCTCTCCATCCATGAGGGGTTCTGCAATGTTTTCCAGTGACACAATTGTGCTCCCAGTATCCATCTTCACACACACAAACCAGCAGCTGTGGAAGGGGCTGGGTATGGTACCCACTGGTTGCCTCAGGTGATCCCAGAACCTGGTGGAGATATGCCCGTTCCAGGAGGTCTGTGTGCTGCTGTGCTGCCAGAGCAGCTTAAGCTTCGTGGCTGCAGAACTAGACCTGCAACGTGTGCCATTCACTGCCCTGAGGACTGGTGGGCAGGGTCACTGGACTGCCAGGGTGTCCCCAGCATGGACTGGCAGGGCAGTACCACACAGCGGGGAGAGTTGGGACCAGGCAGCATGTCCGAGTGGGGAACCTGAGCCGTAGCCATGTGTGACTGCTGATGTTTGGTCTCTGCTGCCAGTGTCTGATAACAAGTCTAAGCACATGTGGCCACCCCAAGAAGGGTTCAGAGCCAAGCACAGGCCTGAAGGACTGTCTTGGTACCAGGGGTTTGCACTCACTTTGCAATGAGCCCACAGGCTCACTGGCTTCCCCCAAACAGAGAAGGCTGGATGGCTGCATCAGAGCTCTTCAGGGAAGAGAAATGTGAGCTGAAGTCCAAGCCATGGACCTGCCAGTGGCCTCACTTATTCCTCTTTTCGTTTGGTGGCTGAGGGTGACCGTGGGTGACTTGCCAAGGCCTGGTTGTGAGTATCCTGTCTTGCTCCTTGCAGAGTTGTCTCACAGCTCCTGGCTGAGCTTGATGGCCTTCATTCCACCAGAGAGGTGTTTGTCATTGGAGCTACAAATAGGCCTGACCTCCTGGACCCAGCTCTGCTCCGGCCAGGCAGGTATGTCCCATCCTACCCTGCCTTGCTCCAGGGTAGTTCCCCAGTGCTCCTCGGGCAATGATGAGCTGGACTGTGTCCCCAACATGTTCCCTCCACAGAGACTGTTCCTAAAGCCCACTGCCCCTGGCTTGTGGGGCAATGGGAAGCCAAGAGGAGGCCAGTGCCTGTGGCTGTAGCAGAAGCACCCCCGGGTCCTGTGTCCCCCCGCCACTCTGGTTATTGCCCCAGTAGCACAGTGGGGCAATTGGGGACCTGCTGTGGCACCAAACTGGTGGCAAGAATTGGTCCTTCAGGGCCTGTTCTGCAGAGCTGCCTCCCAGCATGTCCTCATGCCTGCAGCTTGCCCCATCCTGGGGCACGTCTTTGTATCTGCTGTTGTTGAACCTCCTGTTGCTCCTGTCAGCCCATTTCTCCAGCCTACCCTACCCAGCATCTGAAGAGCAGCCCTGCCCTCCAGCACACTGACTGCTCCCCCCCCCAAGCTTTGTGTCATCCATGAACTTGGCAGCAAAAGGAGCTGCCCCAGGGCCACCCTTCAGTTTCTGGTGCACTGGGCTGAGCACCAGTGGCAGGTTTGTCTTGGCCTGTTCTCAGCTGTCTCTCCTCTCCGCTGGCAGGTTTGACAAGCTGGTCTATGTGGGCATAAACGAAGACCGGGAGTCGCAGCTGCAGGTGCTGAGCGCCGTCACCAGGAAGTGAGTGACCCTGTGCTCTTGCAGCAGCCTTCTGCCACCCACCAGTGGGTCGCAGCCTTCCTGGGGTTGGTGCGTGGTGTGCTCCAGCTTGGCTTCGTGTCTGAGCCCTGGGGAGCACCTGAGTCACTGACCCACAGCCAGCAGGTAGGGGAGGAGGATGGGGCAACTTCCAGAAGCAGAACTGGAGCTGGTTTTCCTCCAAGATGGGAGCAGCTCAGCTGGCTGTGCAGGTGGAGAGGTTGGTAGAGTTCTCCAGTCATCATCCCCACATGCTCTTCTTGAGGAGCTCTGACAGTGTGATGAGACTGCAGTGCACCAACATGGCAGGGAGCTCCCGTTTGCTTGCCACAGGAGTTCCCCTAGCACATCTCCTGCTGTTTCCAGGTCCAAGGGTGCAGGCAGCTCTGTTTGTCTCACTGTCTCTCCTCCTGTGACACTGAGAGTGTTCTGAGTGTCTTTCCAAACACTGGTTGTGTGCAATCACTGAGCAGTGAGGTTTGGCTGCTTCCCCAGCTGCTCCAAGCTCCTGAGAGCATTTCTGGAGGAAGAAAAGGAAGTCCTGCCCTTCAGGTGCAGAGGTACCACCCCTCACAGCTGGGTGAGCACCTGTGAATCGGCCTCTGCAGGGACTTTCTGTCATGGATAGCTGTGATCACTGCTGCCTTTGACGATGAGTGAGCAGGAGAGGCGAGAGTGTGGGCTGGCTGCCACAGTGTGTGGCTTGGCAGTCGTGCCCTCCGGCACTGCTGGTGCTGAAGGAGGCTCGCTGTCTGCAGCGTGGCTGCCACAGGATGGGTCGGTGTTACAGTGGTTTGTACCGTCTGTAATTAAACATGTTCTTATCCAGCCCTGGCTCTAGGGTGTTCCCAGCCATGTGGAACACTTAATTTCTCTGAGTGAGTACTCAAAGTTGCCTTTGATCCTGCTTAGCAAGAGAGAGGACCACGCTATGGGGACGTTTCAAAGAGAAGTGACTGCACTGAAAAAACAAACCAACCACCACTTTGGAATTTTCTTTTTGGAGCGTGCAGAGCAGCTAACCATGGGGCTTCCCATTCCCTCTGCCCACCATGGGGTCTCTGATTCCCTCTGCCCACCGTGGGGCCTCTGATTCCCTCTGCCCAGTCACGCTGGCTGCCGCGTCTCTCCTGCTCTGTTTTTCTCTGTGGCTTTTACACCTGCAGTTTTTTTCTCTTGGCAGATTTAAATTGGATCCTTCTGTGAATCTCACCACCATCCTAGAAAAATGCCCGTCTCAGCTGACAGGAGCCGACATCTACGCCCTGTGCTCGGACGCCATGATGTGCGCTGTCAAACGCAAGGTGGAATGGATCGAGGAAGGTAGGAGCCCACCCCCTCCATGTCCCTTGGGGACAGAGAGGAGAGTGACCACTACCAGGAACTGGGCTTTGTGAGAAGAGCCTCGATGGCTTTGGGCCCATGGGCAACTGCTGGCCTCTGGGTTACTGGCGGGCAGTTTCTGTGGGCATGATCATCTTCACTTCCAGTGCTTGGCCCCAGGGGGAAGGAGAGATACACAGGTTTTCCTTCCATTGTCCAGCGGCTGGAGAGGGGGCTGTTGGATCTTGCCCCTGCGCTTGGCTCTCAGCCTTTTCCTGTTCCCTTTCTCTCATGCAGGGCTGGATACCGAGAGCTCTGCTCTGATCCTGACCATGGAAGACTTCCTGCAGGCTGCTGCGAGGTTGCAGCCGTCGGTCTCTGAGCAGGAGCTGCTCAGGTACAGACTCATCCAGCAGAAGTTTGCTGCCTGTTAATGCTCAGCAGAGCTGGGACTGGAGGAGGGATGGGGATGGTGTGCTAAGGGGTGTGAGAGAACAGGTGCAAACAGGCACCCACCTGCTCTTCTCTGATGTCTCTTGCTTGGGACCCCCTTCTCTTGAGCTTGGATGGAGAAGTGGCTGTGCAGTTTTTTTTGGGCCTGGTGGAGGTGCTGCTCTGCTCAGCCAAGCTACTGGTGGGTTCCGTAACGGTCTCCTGCATCTCAGGGATCACTTTGTGGCTGCTGGGAGCATACCAGGGTGACTACCCCACAGGGAGGAAACTGAGTCTCATGGTTGTGGGCAATGCAGGGGTGTCTCCATGGGGGACAGGGCATTGGTGGGGGGAGTGAGGCCCAAACTGCACTCAGTTTGGCCGCAAGAGCAGGGCTGGCAGCAGTTGGGGGTGTCAGCCCCCAGTGAGGGGTGCTGGCTGGAGGGCAGCAGGACATGGGGAACTGCTGCTGGTCTTTCTGAATAAATACAGGTTTTTGGCACTCGGTATTCACTGCCTGGCCTTAGCTCTTTGCTTGCTGATGGTGTCTGGGGGTTCAGGAGGGTCCCTGTGAGCTCCCAGGCCTGCTGGCCAGGGTCCTGCAGGTAGAGGGGGAGGACACCTGTGAAAAGTGGGGCCACCTTCATCTGCCTAAGGGTGCCAGAATGGCTGGAGGCCATGGTGGATGAAGAGAGGCTGAGGGAGTGGGGTTTGCTCAGGGCCTCTGCAGAGGGAGCCCAGTTCTTCCTGGAGGTGCTGTGTGGCAGGACAAGAGGCAAGTGCCAGCAAGGGACATTGCCACTGGATACGAGGGAAGACTTGTCACAGGGAGAGGGAGGGCTCCAGCCTTGGAAATACTCAACCCTTGGCTGGAGTAGCCCCGAGCTGGCCCGGAGCCCATGAAGTCCTGTCTCTCCTCCCTCTGCAGCCCGACAGCAGCTGCCATC